GATAGGTGACAACAAGCTGCACAGCACCCTGTGCCCCTTACCAGTGTAAAAACTGCCTCTTACCCTAAGGTAAACTAGGGAGACAAAACCCCTAAGTACCCAAAGGGCAGCCGAGAAAGCGAGCAGTAAAACGGACACACAGAGGCAGACCCCGAGGAACTTGTGGAAGGTAACCCCAAGCTCCAAGGGCAGTACTTACAAGGCACCTAGGGAAGGGAACCCTAGGCGCATGCAGCCCGAGTAATAAGGAATAACTCCTGGCTCTCGCACTCTTGGAGTACAGCAGCCACACACAAGGCACAGCACCGCACAAATACTGGAGCCAGGGCACACAACCAAACCGATAGCATCAGCCTCAAGAACTGGGGTGTGGATCGCCGGTGCGGTAGGTCTGGGGTTGCCCCTTTTCCCTCCCGGGGAGGGGAGGGGAGGGGGGCTGCGCAGACAGCGGCACGACGACAGGTGACTTCATACTAATTTGCTTGTTTTTGTTTGGGGAGTTCTATCCACTTGTTCGATTTTTGGTTGCAATTTTCACCAGAATTGGGGTTTGTTTTGGGATGCCTACCTTTCTGGCTGCCTAACCCGGTCGATGGCAGACATAGAATGCTTCCAATTACACGGGAGTTTCTATAGGCCATTGCTCCCCTTGCCTCTCTAGAGGGGGCCAGGTTTTGGCTCGTGGTCCCCGGTAGGCCCATAAGAACTCCATACACATGACAGATGCCAAAGTCTGACATTAGCATATCAGCCTAGTAAGCTCCGGGGAGCCGTAGGGGCTCCCCCCTCCCAGAAAAAGGGACGCAAAACACCAGTACACGTGCACACCGCCCGTATCAAAACAAACCACCACGGCGCACGCGCAGCAGGGATGCCAGACGTGGGTCACCTGAAGTTGCGAGCTGAAGAAAGAAACCACGAAAGTGACTAGAAAATAAACAAAATAGTGTTGTCAACAACCAAATCCCATATGAGAGTACACAGGGCAGCCGCCAATTGTAGTCGAAAAGAGCAGGAAGGAGCAAAAAGAAACATAGCACAGCTTCCCATCTGGACTACAAAGAGCCCAACAAGGCTACAAGGAGCCCAATCTGGCAACCCTGTACAGCGCAAGACAGAGCACGCACTGCATGGAGAGGAAGAGACAAACACGAAAGAACGAAACAGGACCGAAAACGAAAAGCTTGGAAAAGGACCAGCAAACCCCAGAAAGTACCGGGAGATGACAGACGTTCCAAGAATATGGAAAGAAACAAGACCTTCTCGATCCTTCAAGAACATAAAGCAAATGTGAAGCACGAAGGCACAAAAGGCAAAGTCGCACCCGAGACCAAAAGTCATGCAGAACTCAGAGAAGAGGGGAACATGACTGTGAAGGCCCGTCCCAAGATGAAGGGTGGAGAAACGTACCCACTGGCAGGACGGACCCGACAGATCCAAGGGACGAGGACCGATCCCGGGGAGGGGCCGACTACCAAAAAACATGTACGGGGAGGGGGGGGGGGGGGAAGAAAAAACCCCACTCCTCGTAACCACAAGCCCCGCCCAAAGGGTAGAAAAATCCAGGAGGGGCCCAAACATCAGCCCCTCACCAGCCCTGGGAACTCACAAGGCAGGTCCCAGGGTGGAGCCGTTCCCCCAAATGTCCAGCCTCACAAGAAAAAGCCCGGGTAACCGGACAAATACTAAGGAAGGGAGCCCACTGGCAAACTCATACAACACGGCTGGAGGAACAGGCTCGAATGCCCCCGTCGCTACCCCCAGAAGGGGGAATCCCCGAGACCGCCCGAGTCTCAAGACCAGCAAAGACCTGCCCCAACCCCTGAACCCACAAACGGTAAGGATCCGGATGCAGGGAGGAAAAGGGGGGGGGGGCATAACAGGGAAAGATAAGGGGGCACGGAAGTTACAAAACCGAAGCGTCCAACACCCCCAAGCCCCGTCACACCAACCAAAATGGGGTGGCCCCGGGGCTCCCGGGGAGCAAAAAACCTAGCGCGTAGCACCACTGAAAACTTGCAACGCCCGTACTTCCTGCACCCGCATAGTCAGCATAAGACTGGGTAATTGAGCCACAAACAAGCAACAAAACTCGCAGGGCTCTGGGCCGAAGGTTCCACCGACCCCACAGGCAGCAGACGGAGGCAAAACAATGAGAGTCACTCTGAGACAAGGGGACAGAGCAACCCTCGAACTCGCACAAAGCCACATCCATCGGATCCACGCGCCCCCAAAGGGTTTCCCAGGATCCTGAGTGTTTATCTACTGGGACTCACGCCCAGGTAATCCCTAGCAGGGCACTGCTAACCGGCGCCCACAATTACCAAACAACATTCTAAGAACTGAACCCCCGGGACGTGTACACTCACGGGGACCTAACAGGGGGAACCACCGGAAGAAGGAAGAGTACTCAGTACACAGGGGGAAAGAACCAAGGCAGAACCCCTATCAGGCAGACAAACAAAAAGAAAAAGAAAACCCCAGCAAGAGGACAACGTACCCAGGCAGAACAGAGCCGGCTGCCATGATTGGTGAAAACAAGCTGCGCAGCACCCTGCGCCCCTACCAGTGCAAACCACCCCCTACCCCAAGGCGAACAAGGGAGACAAAACTCCCTAGCACACAAAGGGTGGCCAAAAACCAAGCAGTAAATGGCCTAGCAGGGGCAGAACCCAAGGAACTTGTGAAAGGTGGCCCAAGCCCCAAGAGCAGTACTTACAGGGAACCTAGGGAATGAAACCCTAGGCGCATGCAGCCCGAGTACTGGAGAATCACTCCCGGCTCACGCACCACCTAGAAGACAGTCACCACACACTAGGTACAGTGCTGAAACAACCACCAGAACCAGAGCACACGACCTTAGCCTTTAGCATCAGCCTTAGAACTGATGGTGGATAGTCGGCATACTAGGTCTGGGGCTCCCCCGTTTTTCCTTGCGAGGAAGGGGGAGCTGCGTAGACAGGGGCGCGGCGACGTCATGATCATTTGCTCATTTCTTTTAGGGGAGTTCTATCTACTTGTTCGGCTTGTGGTAGCAATTTTCATTATAATAGGGGTTTGTTTTGGGACGCTTACCTTTCTAGGTGCCTGAACCGGTCGATGGCAGACATAGAATGCTTCCAACCACGTGGGGATTTCTATAGGCCATTGCTCCCCTTGCCTCTCTGAGGGGGGTAGGTTCTGGCTCGTGGTCCCCGGTAGGCCCATATTACTCCATACACATAACTGATGCCAAAGTCTGACATTAGCATATCAGCCTGGATAAGCTCTGGGGAGTTGAAGGGGGTTCCCCCAGAAAACAAAACAAAACTGCTGACCGGAGTGAGGGAGGGTGCCAGGGAGTATCCAGGGCTCACCCAGAAAATTGCGTTTCATTACATTCAACGCTAGGTTTTCTGTGGGAGCCCCTATGGCTCCTTTGAGCTACATAACCCACAAAAAGTAAAAGAGGGACTTATCCGGGAGGTGGCAGCCATGCGCTCCTCAACTCGAAGTTGAGACAACTGGTTGCATCCTGCGACCCAAAGCAACACACAAACACCCAGGACCAGGAATATGTACCAAATAGCCGTTCACAAGTCCACAAGTTCACCTGTTTACAAGTACCCGTTTACCAAATTAAATGACGTTCAATTGGCCAGGACTCTGTTCAACCTCCAAAATCTCCGTACTTGAATGTCAGCCCAAGACATGTTGTCGAAGACGGCAGCCAAAGCAGCAAACTTACGAACGTTATGGGCACGAGGATAAACTGCAGGCTGGCTAGACTTAATAACCCTGTAGACAACCTGGGAGACTCGAGTCCTGTAACAGGGAACGAGGGAAACTGGATCAACCCAAAGCGTGTCCCCGGCCACAGAGGACGAGACGTGCAGATAACGACGAAGAGCCGCAACCAGACAGAACACATGATACACCCCCGGCCTGACCAACCAGCATCATTGAACCAAAGGCCCCTCCGGAGAGCCGCTGTCTTGTTCTTCACAAGAGAAGAAGGATGAAGCTCACAAACCCGAATGCCCCCCCCCCCCCAAGGCCAATGCCAACAGAAACAGCCTTGGAAAATCAATCTTGAACTGAAGGGGCCACCACAAACCGAGGAAGAGAGAGAAAGGAGAGGACCCGGTCCAAGGACCTGGATGGCTCAGGCGGCGCGTGAGCAGGCCGGAGGTGAAACAAAGCACGATGAAACAAAGCTTTCGTAAGAAAGCTTATGAAACGGGGGGAAGATCCACCCCAAACGCAAGCTGAAGCAGCTCTGCCAGTGCAACACGATATGAGGCAACAGTGTTCAGCATCAAATGACGGTCCTGAAATTAAGAAAGAATGGACAAGACAACCTGATCAGAAATAGAAAACAACCTACAAAGTGAGAGAAAATGGCTAAAAGAATGACAGGAAATTTCATATTGTCGCTGAGACAAAGCTCGTAGGTGGGACATCATCAATGAAGCCACTTGATTACCATTCAAATGGCGATAAACCTGCACCAAAAAGACCAGACGTGAAGAGCAGAGGAGTAGACCAAACTAGCACTATACCGGTTCGGTCTGATCTGCTGAAAGAGGCGTAGCCAATGAAAATGCACCGGGTTTGGACACCTAGCAAGCAGTGCCTGAAACCAAGGCTGGGCCGGCCACCAAGAGGCCACTAGGGTGACTCTCCCATGGTAGGACTCCAACTGAGCTAGAACCCGAAGCAATAGCTGGACCTGGGGTAAGAGGTATAGGTAATCCTACCTCGACCAGTCCTGTCAAAAGACGTCCACCGTGACGGCTACACAGTCAGGGAAGGGCACCACATATCGGGAGACGCCGAGGCATTTTTGGAAATGTTCACTTTTGGACTTCCCTGGTCAGAAAACGGGCCCTTCCAGACGGGTCCTTCCCATATCGTCCAGACTAGCGAGCTAATACAGTGTATATGAAGTCTCCTTGAGGTAATTATTATCTAGTTTGACAGACTAAACAATTCTACACAAAAACAATATTCTTGCATACCTTCGTGTTTCCTTGTGCAGTAGGCGTCTTCTCCTGGGACTGGAGTGATGCAGCTAGAGGATTAAGAGTGTGGGTTACACATGCTCCTGGCCATGAGAAAATGAAGTTTGGGGAAAATGATGGTCCACACTGAGAATAAAATAGAACAAATAAATTGACGATAAGTCACAATAACATGGCTGAAGATATGAAGACCATACCACACACCAGATGAGATGACGACGACGTTTCTGTCCGTCCTGGACCACTATCAACTTGAAACATCGGCGTTGCCTCACCTTCTGGTGTGTGGTTTGGTCTTCAACAAATAAGTTCATTATCCCTTGAAAGATAATTTGCAAAAAATAACAAACAAAACATGTAGTCATTCACTTATGTTGTTGAAAGCTACTTACATACTACATTAAAACACTTAGCATTGAATGTAATGAAACACATCTTTCTGGTAGAGTTGTGGCTCCTTGAAGCTATCTTCATGAGATTGCTTCATACTAATTGGTCATATCAGTTGCAAGAGTTCTTGTTTACCTTAATAGCGACCAGAGCCACAACCTGGCCCTTCTCACAGAGGTGCAAGGATCAAGTGACAAACCACCACTACACTTGGAAAGCACCCAAAAAGTCAGCAAAGCATTATGGAGGGCTCACAGAAAATGGATCCTCAAACCACTAAACAACAATGCAAATAAATCACATGGGACAACAGATTCATAACTAACCTGATGAACAAAATATAAAATTGAGTATAATATTAACCTAAATTATAGTATATGATCATAAAATGTAGTGAACAGATAAAACCAGCTTTGAATGCAATGAAACTGCTGGATGAGCCCCAGTGACTCCATGAATCTGAAATGGCTCTCAGCTACTAGGCTACATCAGCCGCGGAGTTGTGTTTGGCCTATCGGGGACCACAGCCAGAATCTGGCCCCCCTCCCCCCCTCACAGAGATGAAGAGAGCAGGTGACCACCACCCAACTGGGAAAGCATCCAGAAAATCAGTGAACAAATGCAGACCTGTGCTGGATTCAAAGAGACCATAACCTTGAAACTGCCAAACAAATTCCCCAAACAATGAAAACAAATGATCGAATCTCTTGAAACTAGCGTGAGCTCGTTAGCAGCAACCCCCTGGCAGTTATCTTGAGGTTATCTTGAGATGAGTTCGGGGCTTTAGTGTCCCCGCGGCCCGGTCCTCAACCAGGCCTCCACCCCCAGGAAGCAGCCTGTGACAGCTGACTAACACCCAGGTACCTATTTTACTGCTAGGTAACAGGGGCATAGGGTGAAAGAAACTCTGCCCATTGTTTCTCGCCGGCGCCTGGGATCGAACCCAGGACCACAGGATCACAAGTCCAGCGTGCTGTCCGCTCAGCCGACCGGCTCCCGACCGGTTAGTGTTTGGCAGAGCTCCAGATTTCCCCCCAGCCTTCCAAGCCACTTTTAGAGCAGATGTGAAGACCACAAACACCAACCAATGAACTTGGAAGGGAGGAAGGGAATCAGGAAGCCACTGGGGCTCATCCAGAAAGATGCATTTCATCATATTCAATGCTTGTTTTCTGGGGAACCCCAAGTACACAACAAACAAGAAATATGCTGGCATGAAGCTGCCGCCGAGGACAAAAACTGCACTGCACAGCAACGAGAAAGAGGAGAGAGTAAGGTGAACCACCCTAACAGGGAAAGGAAGAGAAGGTGCAGACCGAGTCCAGGTGGTGATCACCAACACTTCCAACCAAACACCTTCCCCCATCCCTGGTTCTGGCTCCAAAGCATCCAAGAGTTTTCTAGTCAGGCAGAGTTTAGGTTGGGGAGTAGCTCAGCCTTCTTATCAACATTGACAGGAGAGACTGTTGACTTTTATGTTTTCTGCCAGGGTTTTTGGGCAATCACCTTCACAACTGGTCTCCTGCTCCAGGTATTTTTCTTCGGGGGACACCTTTCTGTCTCAGGTATTGAGCAAGGACTATCACTACCCTGGAGCCTTTGTGGCAGGCTTCTGGGGCTCAGGAAGAGCCAAAGGAGTGTCTGAGGGTGCCCTTCAACATTCTCTGGACCTTGGTCCCTTCTCTGAAGGAGTCTTTTTCTTCCAAGAAGATAACTTTTCATATCCTCCTATGTATGAGAATGATCATTTGGCTGCTCCCCCTTCTTCCTACTCTCCCTCCTTCAATTGTCTGTAAAGCTTCGCTGACTTTCTGGGTGCTATCCCTGTGTGGTGGCAAATTGTCACTCGCTCTCTGAACCTCTGTGAGGGGGCGGGCCAGGTTTTGACTCTGGTCTCCAGTTTGCCAAACAGAACTCCCACATCTGATGTAACCCATTTGCATGAGCAATTTCAGTGAGATAGCTTCAGGGAGCCACCAGGACTCGCCCACAAATAGGAATTTCATTGCATTCAACATTGAGTTTTTCAAAGAAAGTAATCATTATAACTAATTATTTACAACATTCTCTGAAATTAAATAAAGCAACAAGACTTTGCTTTTGATGACCAAGCAAACATACCATCGTATAGTTATCATCTCCATGGCAACTGCCAATGTTGATCGTAATTTTTGGCACAGACACACATGACACAGCAGCCATCATGGCTGCTCTACCCTTCATGGCTTGATGCAGGTCATCAATACATAAACCTCTTGTGAATATTTCATGTTCTTCCAAGATTCCAGAATTCTGAGACAAAGGACCAATACATCTTCATTTCTATGCATTAATTTTAAATAGAAATAAAATAAATCTTAAACACAGTTTATGTATACAATACAGTAGCAGTAAATTTAGCACAAGCTGATGTAGTATTAAATATTATACAAAATACTGTATAAAAAGTAATTTATTTTATCTATAAGACAATGAGAGCAATGAAACATACCTGCAAGAATATTAGTGGTAATTGCCGTTGCTGACAAATCTGTATGAAATGTGAGCCTTTGAAACCATCCTGGTAAGTGAGAGGTCCAGCATTACCTATAACTCCTACACATCTCCTAAGAGAAAAAACCAGTGTTGAATGTAATGAAACGCCATTTTCTGGGCGAGTCCCAGAGGCTCCCCGGAGCTATCCAGGCTGAATGGATATAACTTTCTGGCATCAGTCAATGCATGGAGTTCTTGCCTACCGGGGACCACGAGCCAGAACCTGGCCCCCTCTAGAGAGGCATGAGGAGCAATGGCCTATAGAGACCCCCCCCCCCTTTATTATTCCCAGGAATATTCAACAGGTAGTGAGTGGCCAGGACCCTGTTCGACCTCCAAAAACCCCGGGCCCGAATGTCCACACACGACATGTTGCCAAAGACGGCAGCCAAGGTAGTAAACTTACGAACGTCGTGGGCCCGGGGATATATATATATATTTTTTTTGCAGGGATATTCCTGCGCTGGCTAGATTTAATAACCCTGCAGACAACCTGAGAGACCCGAGCCCAGGAACAGGGAAGAAGGGAAACCGGGTCCACCCAGAGCACATCCCCCACAATCGAAACCATGGCGCGCAAATAACGGCGGAGAGCCACAACCGGACGCAACACATGATGCAACCCCGGCCTGACCAACCAAGCATGAACACTCAAAGGCTCCCTCTGGAAAGCAGCCGTCTCATTCTTCACCAGAAAAGAGGGAGACGGCTGCAAGCGAACAAAACGACCACCGGGTCCGAAGGAGCAGAAACCCCAACGCCGGAGAAGAGCATAAAGCTCCCCAACCCAACCCCCAGAGGCCAAGGCCAAAAGGAAAAGCGCCTTAGAAAAATATCTCGAACGGAAGGGGCCACAACAAACCGAGGAGAAGAGAGAAACGAGAGCACGTGGTCCAAGGACCAGGATGGCTCAGGCAGCACATGAGCAGGCCAGAGGTGAAACAACGCACGAGACAACTTGCGAAATGGGGCAGAAGTAACATCAACACCGAAAGCAGACTGAGGCGGCTCCACCAACGCCGCACGATATGAGGCGACAGTATTAGGCATAAGATGACGGTCCTGAAACAACCAAGAGAGAAAGAACAAAACATGATCAGAAATGGATGACAACCTACAAAGGGAAAGGAAATGGTGAAAAGAACACCAAGAGACTTCATACTGTCACAGAGAGAAAGATCACAGGTGGAACACCATTAGAGAAGCCACCTGATCACCATACAAATGATGATACACTCGCGTCAAAAACACCAAACGCAAAGAACGGAGGAGTAGGGCAAACCAGCAAGGTACCTGACTGGTCCGACCTGCTGAAGGTGGAGCTGCAGAAAAAGCTCTCGGGTTAGGACACTGAGCAAGCAGCGCCTGAAATCAAGGCTGGGCCGGCCATCATGGATCCAGGAGAATCACTCGCCCCAAAAGGATTTGAACCAAGCCAGAACCTGAAGCAACAGCTGGACTGGGTAAAAGAGGAAAAGGAATCCCTACTAGATCAATCCAGCTTAAAAGTGTCTACTGCGAAGACTTTGCAGTCGGGGAAGGGCGCCAAGAAGGGAATGAACCGAGACAGAATGTTCGCCAGGACATTGGACACCCCCTGGATGTAAAACGCATAGAGAGCTAAACCCCCGAGAACTCAGCAGATGAGCCACTCGAGACAACCAGCCCCAAAGCGCCGTGGACCAAAGCGACCCCCCCCCCAGTTCAGGCAATGAACCACCAGGGCGCAGTCCGAATGGAGCCGGAACACAGAGCCCTGAGCGAGCCAAATCTGCCACAATGAGAGCCACATGGCCATGAACTCCCGCACCATGCTGTGAGCCTGATAGAACGACAGACCCCAACGACCTTGACCGGTCTGGTGAGCACTGGTCACAAAACCCCAGCCGAGGGACGAGGCATCCGTGAACACATTGAGTGAGGGAACGAGTTGGCGCCAAGGCCCTGAACCCCGAAAAACCCAAAAGGAAGCCGGAGATGCAGCAACCGACACAAGGCTCCTGGAAAACGAACCCATTGAACGCGAGAGCGGCAGAAGGGACTGTTCCGAAGGAACCAGAACAGCCTCCGAAGGAACCAGAACAGCCTCCGAAGGAACCAGAACAGCCTCTGAAGGAACCAGAACAGCCTAGGAAGTCAAACCCTACCCAGCGGGAAAACTAGCAAGGTGAAGTTCAGACTCCTGCACAGCTGCTCAAGCAACCAACGAGTGACCTGGGACCCTCCCAAGAACAACTGAAGGCGGGACTGTAGCCACAGCAACGCCGCAGTAAGGAGGGACATGGTTGCCATCCGAGAATCCCAGACCAGGCCCAGCTAAGTCCGATCCTGGGACTTCCTACAGTACACCAGGAACCCAAACCTGGCGAGCTGGAAAAGAACCAAATCCCAGGTGAACAGACCGGCTGGGAGCCCACACCAACCAATTGTCAAGGCAGGCCAACACCCGAACACCTAACAGATGAAGACAGGTCACCACAACCCGTGTAAGATGAGTAAAACCGCGAGGTGCCAGATTCAACCAGAATGTAAGGCAACGAAAGCGGTAAGCCTGATGCCCCACCACGAAACCTAACAAATCCCTGAAACCCGGATGAAGAGAAACATGCATAAAGCTTCCTTGAGGTCCAGAGACACCATCCAAGTGCCCAAATTGAGAAGAAGCCGGACCTGGGATAGAGTGGTCATCTGAAAAGAGGGGCAAGGAATCCATCGGTTCAGATAGGACAAGTCCAGAATGAACCGAAGATCCACATAGTCCCTGGATCCTGGGACTGTGTGGATCCACACAGTCCCTGGATCTGGGACTTGTTCCTGGGAATAAGTGAGGAACCCACTTGAGAGACGAGGTCGTTTCGACCACGCCCAGGTGCACCTACTTCAAGATGACCCGACAAAGCCACAGGGAGGAAGCCTGCCCTGCCAGCCCCGAACTTCCCAGAGGTTCAGGGGAGATTTTTACCTCTGACAAAAATCAATTTGCAAAGAATATAGTGAATTCATTAAACTATTCAGAGTTGTAGTGAGGGAAGTGGAGAAAAGGGTCGGGATTGAGGTGAGGAGGCATGATTAAAGTTTCATGTAAACTGAGTTAGCTGCATCCACCTCAACAAGTACACAGAAAGATGGGATCAGAATGTGTGTCTTTTGTGACATCACACCACACAAACCTCACAGACATACTAGAGTACACAAAGTTCACTAGCACACCGAGCCACTTAAAAATTCTTGCCAGCCTATTTATGTTAACTAATTGCTTGATAGAGCACAAACACCTGCCTCTAATGAGGTGGAGGTAGAACATGACCCCGATGACCCACCACCAATTGCTCCCTTTTCTAACACCATGTAACATTTGAATACAAATTTTATCTAAAACATTGGTGACTATGGTATAGTACTTGCATAATTCTAATGGGGGGAAATGGCAGGAGAACTCATGTCTGTCTATTTCATAACATGTAATAAATACTGGATGCTGGGAGATTGTCTGGAACATATTCCTATTCTCACAAGCAAGTTTGCAGTTGGTATGCTGTTTCTATTTGCATGCAATTGTCCAAGAATGATTCCCTACATGCAAATCAAAGGCCTACTTGATCTGCACATAGGGAAAGTTGTAAATAAGAATTAAGTACAGTGTAGTATATAGTACAGTATAATATATAACAATTTATAAAACAATGTACACTGTAATTTCCTAAATATAATAGAAATACTGTACCAGTACATATCATGAAAGCTTTTAAATATATCCATACCCTTCAATGAAACCATATCCTGTTGCAAGATTCTTTCCATATTTCTGCTTAAATTCACGAAATCTTCCACCATCCACAATTCTGCCAATAACTGCATACAATTTTCTTCGGTCAATAGAATCTATACCACTCAAAGCTGAAAAAGAAAGTGTTGAGTGTAAAGAAATAATCCTTTTTGGACACGTCCTCAGTAGCCTTCCAAAGCTTTAGCACTAAGGCCAAACCCTACTTGCCAGATACCTGTTAAAATCACAGCCTACTGTGATTTTAACAGGTATTTGCTTGAAATAACCTATAAGGACTTGGAAGACAAGCACCACAAAATCCAACTGGATTGGTGAAAACAACTGAAGTATGCCAGAAAATGTCACTAGAGTTACTTGAACATGGTGCAGGGAAACCAGGAATATATGCCTGGTTCTCTGATGGACTGAACCCTCTATGCATGAAGTGCCCATAACAGACTAAGTCACTCACTATGCCCATGAGCCCATAATAAGCAGTCCAAGAAATGTTCATAACCAAAGAAAGAAGCAATCATCATGCCATCTGTGAGTCCCTAGCCCCATCTGAATGACATAAGGAAGGCACATGTCTCAGCAGTGAGCCCAAAGAACAGTAAGCTAAAGTAGGTGAACACATGCCCACCACAGCAAGCCCCAACCACAACAAGGCAAACTCAAGAAAGTCGGTAGTACTGACAAACAAGAAAATATAAACGACAGCCTATAAGCCACACATGGCAAAATAAGGAAAGGGCACCTGATGAACAGCGGCAGTCCCATGCATGAAGCTTCCCTAATGAGCTGGCTACACTCTTCTCAAGAACTGTGGTCACAATATCTAACAGAGGCCAGCGAAGGCACTGCAAAGATAGAGGAGGGACACAATCCACAAAAAATGACTGAACTTTAAGCGAGTGTCTAATTACCATGGATAAAATTCATAAGATACAGTACTATGTAAAGCAACAGAAAATTAAGCCTTAATTCAACAGGGCATACTAAAGTAAACCCAGAGGGCCTTCAAGAAATACCCAGAATCCTACCTTGCAACTAGAGCCCACCTAAATTTCAGCAAAACTGACTCAAGGTCTCAGTGCTCAAAAGGGAAATACAGTACAGGTGTTGCCAAGGAATCAACTTATCAGACCCATGAAAATGTCAAGTGCAACAAAAAGAACAACAACGTAAAGGCGCGTATTTTAAAACTAGTCCCAAGATACAACCTGTTTTTGCACTTTCTTACAGTCAATATTGACTTATTACATAAGTGCATATGTGACATACTAATTTATTGTGAATATTTTAGTTTACCTTGAAAAGCTTCATAGAAAACACCGACCTTACCTAACCTTCTTAGTATGTTAAGATAAGCATCTTATTGCTACGAAGCAATAAGATGCTTATCTTAACATACTAAGAAGGTTAGGTAAGGTCGGTGTTTTCTATGAAGCTTTTCAAGGTAAACTAAAATATTCACAATAAATTAGTATGTCACATATGCACGTATTTAATAAGTCAATATTGACTATACGAAAGTGCGAGAACAGGTTGCAAGATAATAGGACAATAAATAGAATTTTAACAAATATTTTAATATTTTGACCAAAACCTATTTATAATCTTTCAAGTGTTCGGACATCAAGTTTCATGTTATATCTTTCATTTTGATATCAAATTGTGCGCAATCTAAAGGCGCTTATTTTGATACTATCCCGAGGTCGATCGGATAAAAAATGAATTTTATACAAATATTTTTGTAGTGTACGCAAGTCCGGTCACTAAGGATTCAGGAGAAAAAAAAAAGGATGCGATCGGTGTCCAAAGTCGGCGATAGTGTTAAACTAGCTAAACACAGATGCCGAAGAAATATAAGAAAATTCACTTTCACAGAGTGGTAGACGGTTGGAACAAGTTAGGTGAGAAGGTGGTGGAGGCCAAGACCGTCAGTAGTTTCAAAGCGTAATATGACAAAGAGTGTTGGGAAGACGGGACACCATGAGCGTAGCTCTCAACCTGTAACTACACTTAGGTAATTACACACACACACACACACACACACACACACACTTCGTCACTGCCAGGTACACAATCTAGTAAAATATAATTCATATATATAATTTGAGAACAAAAAAAGGATTACCATTCAGTAAATCAGGGTTCAACAGTGGTTCTTCAGAATCCAATGATGCAGGGGAGAGAGGGTCAACATTAAGGGTGGCAACAATGTCACGTACAATTTCAAGACCTTCTTCTTCTGTTTCCGCAAAGTAATCAGTAACACCACTGACACTGGAGAAGATTAAAGAATATCAAATGAACCCAAGTAGCAGAATAAATTTATAAATCTTAAATAATTAGTAAAATGTCAAATATTATACAGTACAATATTAATAAATAATATACAAATAATAATATTTTATTTAACTGGTCACTTAAGTTTTATCATTGCACGAATACTGTACTTTGTAATTCAAAAAACCAGCGTTGAATGTAATGAAATGACATTTTCTGGGTGAGACCCGGAAGCTCCCCGGAGCTTACTAGGCTGACATGCTAATGTCAGACTTTGGCATCAGTCATGTGTATGGAGTTCAATGGGCCTACCGGGGACAATGAGCCAGAACCTGGCCCCCTCAGAAGAGGCAAGGGGACCAGTGGCCTACAGAAACCTCCGTGTGGTTGGAAGCATTCCATGTCTGCCATCGACTGGGTCAGGCACCAGTGTGTGGGAAGCCCAAGACCCCCACACACTTTCCACCCTTTAGTTCTGAGGCTGGATGTCAAAACACGCGAAAAACTGCCGACCAGAGGGAGGGAGGGAGGGATGCCGGGCAGGCTCTGGGTCTTACCCAGAAAATGGCGTTTCATTACATTCAACGCTGGTTCCCCTTCGGCTCCCCGGAGCTAACTACCCACAGAGGAAAAATCATAGGGACTTATCCGGGAGGCGGTCACTACTCACTCCTCAACTCAAAGTCGAGACAACTGGCTGCAACCGCCGACCCAAAGCGACACAGGCCCGACTAGGCCCAGGGACGTTCACAAGGTAATGAGCGGCCAGGAACCTGTTCGACCGCCAAAATCCCTGCGACCGAATGTCGGCCCATGACATGCTGCCAAAGACGGAAGTAAGAGTAGCGAACTTACGAACGTCATGGGCACGGGATAGACCACAGGTGGTCTATCCCGGGATAGACCTGGCACGTGAACTGCCAGGAGAGCCAAACCCCGAAAACTGAGCAGACGAGTCACCCAAAGCGACCAGCACCAAAGAGCCTAAGACCGCATTGAACCCCCTTGGTTCAGGCAATGAACCACTGGGAAGCAGTCTGAACGGAGCCGGATCATCGATCCAGGGGGACCCGAATGTAATGAACCCTCTGAAGAGCAAACCACACCTCCGCAAACTCCCACATCATGCTGTGGGCCCGACAGAAGAACGGACCGCACTATCCCTGGGAGGCCGGGTGAGCACTGGTCACAAAGCCCTAGCCGAGAGACGACGAGTCTGTGAACACATCGAGTGAGGGCTCGGGCAGGCGCCAAGGAACTGAACCTCGAAAAATCCGAAGAGGAAGCCTGCGACACAGCAGTTGACGCAAGGCCCCCAGGGGGCCGAATCCCGCGATCGCAAGAATGGCGGAAGGGACGTCCCCAAAGGAACCAGAACAGCCGACGAACTTTGCAATGATGATAGATCATCATTGCAAAGTTCAGGCAATGATGATTTCCCTCATCATTGTACAGACCCTCGAGCCGTTGCCCGGTGACCCGGGAGCCCTCCAGAAATAGTCGCATGCAGGAACGCAGCCGTAGCAGAGAGTCCGGAGGAAGAGACAAGGAAGCGGTCCGAAAGTCCCACACAAGACCCAGCTAGGTCTGAACCTGGGAGGGAACCAGATGGGACTTCTTTCAGTTCACCAAGAACCCGAACCCGGCGATCTGGGAAAGAACCAAATCCCTGGCTAGCATACAGGAGGATCAGCTGAGAGCCCAAACCAGACAGTCGTCGAGGTAGACCAACACCCGACCTAAAAGACGCAGATGGGACATGACGATCCGGGTAAGGCATGTGAACACGTGAGGTGTCAGGTTCAAACCGAATGGAAGACAACGAAAGTAGTAAGCTTGACGCCCCACAACAAAACCGAGTCAGTCCCTGAACCCAGGATGGATCGGGATGTGCCAATAAGCGTCCCAGAGGTCCAGGGACACCATCCAAGAGCCCGGCGCCAATAGAAGCTGAACCTGGGACAGCGTAGTCATCTGAAAGGAGGGGGGCAATGAACCTAGAGGTTCAGACGGGACAAGTCCAGAATGAACCTCAGGTCCGCACAGTCCCGTTTCGGCACTGGGAACAGACAGGAAACCCATCTGAGGGACGTCGTCGTTTCGACCACGCTCAAGCACACCCACTCCAAGACGACTCGACAGAGCTCAGGAAGAGGCCTGCCCCACCATCCCCGAACCCCCCAAAGGAGGAGGGGCCACCCAACGCCACCGCAAGCCGAGTGAAACGACCCGAAACGTCCACAAATCGTGGAACCAGGCATGAGCGAACAGCACAAGCCTCCCCCCATCGCTCCGTCAATGGGGCGAACCACGAAAGGCCTGTGCCCCTTACAAAACCGTGAACCTCTCACAGAGCGAACACCGCGCCGACCAGAAGACAGGTCCGGACCCGAAACTGGCACCAGTGGCCTACCTCTATGAGAGAAACCCTGAGCCCTGGCAAGAACCCTCCGGAAAGCCCCCCCCCCCCCCGGGATCCCAGGAAAACCAACAAGTCAGACGTAGGACGAACACTAGCCGAAGTAGCCCGCAAATACTGCGCCACAGCAGAATCCGCAAAAAGCAGGGGACAAAAAGGAGAGGACATCTTATGAGCCAGGGCCTAGGCTGATTCCAGAGAGGAGGCAAGCACCGCCTGCCGACACGCGAGCCGGGAAGCATAAAACAGCGAAACCGCATCCCGCAGGATCGGCGCAAAGAGCTTTAATAAGGCAGCCGACGAGCGAGCTGCTAAGCCAAGGCACTGGACCCAGGAACGGCCCCAAGCATCCGCACATCCTCCTCAAGCCAGTCTGAAAACAGTTCCAATAGGGAAAAGAAATGCAAGGCCGAAAGCCAAGAGGCCACGTGCGCGCAAGTCCTCAGCAACTTGTGCAGTCGAAAGGGAGGGAACCTACACATGGAGCTGCACGATGCCAACATCCCGGGGTAGGGCAGGGGCAAACAAGCGCTCAATGAGGTGCTCATGGTCGGCCCCCAGGAAAACCTAAACCACTGTTAAAGCTTTGTGCCACTTAAGCGTGCGGGAACGACAGAAGGAATGCCAAGCCTCCAAAGCAAACACAGGACAGTTCGCCGGCCAGGACGACTCTGGAATCTCGTAACGGACCCAGAAAGGGAACGACATCCCAAACCTGAAAGAAGATGGATCCATAACAGAGGTATAATCCGGGTCACGCAGGAGGTATGCCACAATGGCCGCCCACACCACAGATGGTTGGATGCAGGAATCCAAAAACCTCCGGAAAGACGGAACCGATGCACCCGGGAGGGGGACACGGAATCGAACCCGGGAAGGGACAGACACCAAATCCAATTTGTACGCAGAGAGGAAAAAAGAGAACCCCAATCCTTGTAACAGTAAGCCCCACTCAGAGGGCAGAAAAACCCAAGCGGGTTCCAATGGGGGGACCAAGGCCCCTAAGTCTGCACATCCCCTGCCCCAGGATCCTACACCACAGGACCCGGGGCCAAGTCATCTCCCAAAGCACCGGCCTCAAAAGAAAAGGTTGATGCAGCTGTGTAAGACTGAACCAAGGCCGAAGCGACCATCATCCCCAAGTCCGGGTCCCTATAGGCAAAACGGGGCAGCCTCGGGACATTCAGGCGAGCAATCAACCTAGCGCATTGCATCAACCTAAAGCGCACATGCAATGCCTGCCCCGGCTGTACCCGCAGAAGATTATCATTGGATTGGGTAAACTGGGTCACCAGCAAGCAACAAAACTTGCAGGACTCTGGGTCGAAAGTGTCTTCGCCCAACAGGCAGCTTGTCGGAGGCAAAAAAGTGAGAGCCACCCTCAGACAAGGGGGACCGAGCAGCCCTCGAACTCACACAAAGCAAGGGGGGACTCCGGAGTCGCATCCATCAGACCCGCGCACCCCCCGGAGTTTCCCAGGGTCCCGAGACGGAACTCATGCTCAGGGAATCCCAGGCAGGGTACTGCTAATCGGCGCCCAAAACTACCGAGCAACTCTCCAAGACTGAACCTCAGGGATGTGTACACTCACGGGGACCTAGCAGGGGGCACCACCAGAAGAGAACCGTACTCAGGTCAAGCACAAAGGGGCAACACAAAGCAGAGTCCCCCATCAGGCAAAAAGAAAAAAGAAAACCCCACAAAAGGACAACGTACCCAAAAGGAACAGAGCTGGCCGCTATAAATAGTGAAAACAAGCTGTGCAGCACCCTGCGCCCCTTACCCTAAGGTAAACAAGGGAGACAAAACCCCCAAGCACCCAAAGGGCGGCTGAAAAACCGAGCAGTAAATCGGCCCAGCAGAGGCAGGACCCAAGGAACTTGAGGAAGGTGGCCCCAAGCCCCAAGGGCACCTAAGGACAATAACCCTAGGCGCATGCATACTGTACTGTAGAATATCAGTACAGTACTCGGGCATGCATGCCTGAGTACTGTAGAATAACTCCTGGCTCGCGCACCCCTAGAGGAGTCACCATACGCCAATAGAATGCTTCCAACCACACGGGGGTTTCTATAGGCCAGGTTCTGGCCATGGTCCCCAGTAGGCCCTAGAACTCCATACACATGACTAATGCCAAAGTCTAACATTAGCATATCAGCCTGGTAAAGCTCCGGGGAGCCGACGGGGCTCCCCTCAGAAACTTTTCTGGTAATGCTAGTATAGTGCATTGAGGGTTTGTCTACAAAATTTATGCATGATAGCTAAGCAAATAAACCAACTAACTTTATTCAAAATAGCATGGCTACTCAATCCACTGATACATGAATCAACTTCTATTTTGAAGTGTTGGAGATTGATAATACTATGTTGCATTTTCTGGGAAAGATTTTGAGGTGATGAGTCATCAGTTCCATCTCCAAGCACTTTGTCAGGAACAGCAAGTTTGACTGCAACATATACTGCTGAGCTGAGATCATCACAGCCCTGTGCCAACCTTTATGATGAACTACCATGAACAGATACCGTGTGATTTCTTACAATACCTGCAGTGTAAAGTAGCACCACCTAGGTCTTCTGCAGATATGTCCTCACCGGTGGCTGCTTTCACCAGAGGTGGCCCACCCAGAAAGATGGTGCCAATACGGGTTACAATTGCGGCATCTTCACACATAGATGGTTGATACGCCCCTTTATTAAAGAAAAAAAGAAAAATTTCTTCTGAAAACTTAATTTTGTATTAAAGGTAAAATTATATCCAGTACTGTATAGTGCTACAATTCTCATTTGTCTGAATGTTATGCTTAATGTCTCTCCTGTTTTGCAGAACAATCTCTCATTCAATACTGTGTACAGTATTTGAAGTTTGACAAGTAAAAAAACCAGCACCGAATGTAATGAAACACCATTTTCTGGGTGAGTCCCAGAGGCTCCCCGGAGCTATCTAGGCTGAATGGATATGTATATCTTTCTGGCATCAGTCAATGCATGTTGTTTTTGCCTACCGAGGACCACGAGCCAGAACCTGACCCCCTCTAGAGAGAGGCACAAGGAGCAATGGCCTAGAGACCCCCCCCCTGTTTTGGGAGCATTCTATGTCTGCCATTGACTGGGACAGGCACCTGGAAAGGTAGGCGCCCCAAAACACACCCCTATTCTGGTAAAATTATTGAGACCGAAGGCCAAACAGGTGGACAGAACTCCCCAAATGAAAAATAGCAAACTAGCATGACGTCGTCATGTTTCCGCGCCGCTGTATGCCCAACACCCCCCCCCCCTCTTCCCGGGAGGGGCAGGGGGAGCCCAAGACCCATCCGCCGGCGACCCAACCTATAGTTCATAGGCTGGATGTCAAAAAGCGCAAAAAACACCGCCGATTGGAGGGATGGAGGGATGCCGGGGAACCTCCAGGACTTGTTCAAAAATGGCGTTTCATTACATTCAACATTGGTTTTCTGGGGGGGGGGGGGGGAGCCCCGTCGACTCCCCCGGAGATAACTCCCCAAAGACAAGGAAAAAACAGGGACATACCCGGGAGGCAGTTCGTCCTCATTCCTCAATGTGAAGTCGAGACAACTGGCTGCAACCGTCGACCCAATGCAACGCAGGCCCTACCTGGCCCAGGAACATTCACCAGGTAGCGAGCAGTCAGGACCCTATTCGACCTCCAAAAACCTCTCGCCCGAATGTCAACCCAAGACATGTTGCCAAAGACGGCAGCCAAAGCAGCAAACTTACGCACGTCATGGGCACGGGGATAAACCGCAGGCTGGCTAGACTTAATAAACCCTGAGGACAACCTAAGAGACCCAAGCCCGAGAACAGGGAAGAAGGGAAACTGGGTCAACCCAAAGCGCATTCCCGGCCACTGAAGCCGTGGGGCACAAATAATGGTGAAGAGCCGCAACAGGATAAAACACATGATGCACCCCTAGCTTGACCAACCAAGCATCAACAACCCAAGGCCCCCTCTGAAATGCAGCCATCTCATTCTTCGCCAGAAAAGGAGGAGATGGCTGCAACCGAACAAAACTACTGTAACGGGGGGTGGGGGAAATGGCTCTATCTTGTCCATTATTTCACACCCCAGTTAACTAACGAGGCCGGGGGAAACAGCTCTCTCTAGTCCGTTATCCCGTCCCCAGTTAGCTAACTATTCTAGAGCACCTCCAGAGTTCCTAAGGCAGCCTCTCTCGTTCGACACCTTGTAACCTAGGTATTTGACTACCTAGGTGCTAAGACTACAAGGCGCCGTAACTTGATCCGCAACCCGAAACTCTAGAATACATTTCACTGCCACAAACGTATAAGAGAAAACGAAAGGAAAGAAATGAATAGTGAAGTAATTAGTGAGGGTTTGGGGTGAGAGGTAGAGAGGTGGGAGGAGCGAGGAGGGTCATTAGTTGAAAGTGAGAGTTTAGAGAGGGGTGGAGGGAGAGGTGTAGATAGGTAGAAGTAGAAGAGTAGACAGTAGAAGTAGAAGAGTAGATAGTAGAAGACGAAATAATGCTGCCACCATCCATTCTAGACCATTACCTACAAGACAAGGAATGGAACTTGTCTGTATCACAATATTCACAAAAGATGTTATCAAGAGGTCATTATTAGTATGTCCCATCTTTATCATGTACTCATTAAATCATGAAACCAGTAATCACAGAGGCTTTCTCACCTCAACTCAAGGCTCTAGGGGACACAGTTAAAGGCAATTTAAATAATAAATTCAATTATATTTCACATACTAAGTATCATAATTTAAGCAATGTTCAAGATATATATATGTAAAGTGAGTCATCCTCCAAGAATCTGAGAACACTACAACTGACTGCTCCTGATCATCACACAACATATGTAAACACGACCAAGTCACCTTAATGTTCAACTCACCAAGTGTCTGCCTATAGCTGGATAGAGGGGAGGGGGGGGACTGTAGCTGTCAGAGACTGTCCCGCCCTGCCGGCTGACAGCCTCCCTGCTAGGCCGTCTTCTCTGCTTCGCTGGCTCCTGTTCTTCTCTGTCTCGTTAATGCTCTCGAATCGATAGCTCTCCGAGTATATATTGGGAACCTAGTAACTAACTCCGCCCACAAGTAGATAGCCTCAGGCACTCTACCAAGCCACTCCTTAAACGTCGGCATGTTTGAAGGCTACCAGGCTCCAATTATAAGATTAGTAGAAGTAAGGTGAAATTCGCATGATCTGACCTCAGGTCACTTGGTGGTCATTAACTCTTAGAGGTGTGAAACTCCGGCCGACAACTTGGCGCCTTCTCAAATCCCTGTCTGTGACTCATGTACTCTATGTATGTATTAAATACAACTAAACCAAACACTTTTACAGTGTTACACTACCACCAGGACCAAAGGCGCAGAAACCCCTGTGCTGGAGAACATGAAGCTCCCCGACCCGACCCCAGTGCTGTGAGCTTATGCTGAATGCACCCTGATGGCTCACTCAGTACTGAGACCCTAACACCCAGGAATGTTGCCCACGATTTTTTTTTAAATGCCGTCTGTTTACAAGAGCCCTGATGAAGGTGAGGTGAGCCCCGTGTATCTGCAGGCCATTTAAATCTTGCGTGGTATTCAAACACGTCATATGACATGATGCGCAATTTTGGGCAAGTTACTTAACACGTTATATGACGTGTTGCGCAGTTTAAGGGATAACCAGAATGGGGGTTTGTTTTGTGACACTTACCTTTCTGGGTGCCTGTCCCGGTCGATGGCAGATATAGAATGCTCCAAATCCCATGTGCATTTCTATGAGCCATTGCTCCTCGTGCCTTTGTGAGGGGGCCAGGTTCTGGCTCGTGGTCCCCGGTAAGGCTAGAATTCCACTCACATTGACTGATGCAAAATAGTTAGGGTATCCATATCAGCCATGGATAGCTCCTGAGAGCCATAGGGGCTCCCCCCAGAAAAAACTTCATCCAACTCACCCCCGTCTCGTTAGCTCCAACTTCCCCCCCCCCAGGAGGTTGAACCAGCCTGGGTGAGCCAGGCCGCCGCCAGCCAGTTCTTGACTGATGTTCATGCCTGGAGGAGAGGAAGCCTGCCTGGAAAGACCCGAACATTTGGAAGGGGAGGAACCAACAAACTCCACCACAGGCTGTGTGAAATGACCTCAGAGCCCATGACTATAGGGTCCAGGAGTTGGCAAACTGAGCAAATCGCTCCCCACTCCCAATGCTCCATGAAAGGCATAAACCATGTGCAGCCGTAGCCTACCGAGCAGAAGGAGCATGGCGCAACCAGACAGAAAATGTCCGACCGAGTGAAGTGCATGCAACCAGATGAAAGACCAGCTAGAGTAAGACTGTGACCCAGAACCTAGCACCACTGAAGGCCTACCCCGACCCACAGCAGGCAGTGGCCCCAGCTCTCCCTGACCATCACCAAGAATGAGAAAGGACTCCCAAGAAGAAATGAGATCCAAGTGGGCATACAAGTGGAAGCCACAGAGGAGAGAAACTGACACAACCTCTCCCAGGAAAGAGAGAAGAGAAGAGAAAGGTGAACAAGAGAACTAGGGCTCATGCTGAAACCAAAGACTAGGCCAATACAGCCAGCCAAAATGCAAGGCGGGCAGTAAACAAGAGCACCTGGGCATGGAGGTGTATGCTTTCCCGACACGGTCGGGTACTCGCAGGATGGCATATGTAGACACCCTTGCAGGTAAAAGACAGACGCCCCAGTTTTCACTGGTGTGTAAGGTAAGGGTGGACAGTCGGTGACGTTACGTGGTACAGTGAGGCGGAATGGATGGCGGCAGCTGGTGGCTACTCACTCTAGACTCTGAGTGGCGGCATTGGTGGCGGCTAAGGTATTACACCATGCAGGTACACTGTGGTAAAGTCACAGATTACTTAGGCAGCGGCACTTTCTTTAGTTCACCCTAGATCAATGAGTCACTCACAGGGGGATCTTGATCTCACCTTGTCACCAGGTGTTTACTGATACCAGCCTGTTACGTTCTAGTGATTTCAAAGTCTTTATGTCATTCTCGAAGGTTTCTAAACAATATGGTCATGGTCGCGATTCTGGGTGAGCACTGGTATATCGAGAAGAACACAGTTTAACTTGATGGTGAGGGACGGGTGGTGTGTTCTACCAATACCACTAGTGTGGTATTAATACAATAGTGTGTTGCCCAATAGGTTAGAATCACACATCTACCACATACAACATCCCCCACGAGAATAACGGTGCAAGGGGTTACAAGGACCTCTGTGGGGCCCAACCGCCCGGTTGTGCCAAATTATTTTATTTTGCACAATTCAGTACCACCATTAAGAGGTACTTCTTTTTCTTTTTATACCTATTGACAATCTTTGACTATTCACAGGCAGAGTGGTACCTTTGATGATAGCAGCACTTTAGTGGTTAATAGAATGACTGAGGTAAATTTTATTTAATTAAGTTGAGTATTTCAATAAAAATAGTATTTATTGTATAGCTTAATTTAGGATAGAGAATAAGGCTAATGGAACATTAATGCAGTATTTAGAATCAGCTCAGATGAAATACATAGCTGATTTTTAAATAGAAAATGATACCTTACCCCCTGCTGTACAGGAACCACAAACCACTGCCATCTGTGGTATCCCTGCTGCAGACATAACAGCTGAGTTACGGAAACCACGTCCACCATGATTTTTATCAGCAAAAAAGTCAGACTGGAAAACAATATACAAGATTGCATAAGCTAACTAATTTATGAGTAATAATTATTACATACAGAGCATTGATAAAAATCAATTGTTAAATGTCATAAAATGTCCTTTCTGGTGAGCCCTCATTAACTCTCCAAGCTTAACCCTCAAACCGCGCATATCATATATAAATGATATCAGTGACAAAACCGAAACCGCGCACATCATTTATATATGATTTCGTGTCTAGCGCTATAATTTAAACGCCCCGCCTGGGATAGGGGCAGCTATAGTACAGCCACGACCGATAGTTGCCAGATGCCACCTAGAAAAAAAATCCAGGCTAACATTCTTGGGTGTTACAGCGTCAGTATTGAGCAAGCCACCAAGGCTGGCGCACGCAGCATGAGCTCACAGCACCGCTGTTCAGCTTGTGACCACAGCATCGCCTACAAATACCATAATATAAATGATACTGCTATTATTTAGCAGTGATAGTATTACTGAAGCCCCCTGACTGTGATAAAACTGACCAGGATTCTGATAATAGCAGGATTGTGGTGATATTTAGCGCTGTGCTCCATGGAGGGAGGCGTAAGGCTGTGGGAGGGAGGGTTGTGGCGTCGTTTTCTGACTGTGTGTGGCCACCATTTATTGACTGCACTCACCATACCAGCTTAGTGGTTCGATATGATGAACACAAATGTAGATACTTATATATATAACGTGTGTATAGTGTGAGATAACAGCGAGAGGAGTAGGTTGGGAGCCGCCATTTTGGTGAGGGAGGAGCGTCGTCTGCACGACTTGGCATGTTGTTTACTGATGGCCACTATGGTCTTTGGGCGCAATACCAGCTTATTTGTACAGGTATGGTGCATAAAACAGGTAGATACTTATATATAATGTGTGTATATAGCGTAATAACACCACAAACAATATTGTTGGAGGACAAATATTAGTGCGTCTGGCCTTGAGGGTGGCCGCCGATCAGCTGACTGTGTGAGTAGCTACGTCTTATGGCCTTACTCACCATACAAGCTTAGATGTACAGTTATGGTGAACAAAACATGTAAATACATATATATAACGTCTGTGTAGAGTGAATAAATACAGGAAGAGTATTGTGGGAGGCGAATGAGGGTGAGTGAGGTGGTGTTGAGGGAGGGAGTGGCAGTGAGTGGCTCGCTGGTGTTTGGCGGTCACTCCTCGTTGCTTTTTGACTCGCAAGACCAACTTAGTAGTTTGTTATGGTGTACAAAACATGCAAATACTTATATATAACCTGTGTATATAGCGTAACAACAGCAAAACTATTTGTTTATTGTTTTATGAACATAATAATTGAATCACTAATATGCACACCATAATTTTGAGTACAGCGATGGTTCACACATTTTATAATATAAATATACCACAATTCACTGTATGGAATAATATTACTGCAAAAAAACTAAGAAAAAATCAATCAGAGACATTGAAATAATTAGGTAATAATATATTTGTGGCAACTGCCGTCAGACAGCTCGGGCGGAGCAGACCTCGTCTGGCGAAGGCTCTGTCAACGCCCCTTTTTTGCCACACTTCCCTACCCTATTGCGGCTAAAATATGCCACCTACGATTTTTTTGTTATTTTTTCCGTGATCAGAGAACAAAAATGAACACTTCTATAAGACGAAAGAATTTTTTGGATTTTATTTTTTTGTTGCGCCTGTGGGTGTGAATTCTATTTGGGCCCCTAGCGGTTTGAGGGTTAAGAACTGGTACTTCCAATCCTTAGCAAATCATGCCCGGCCTCTACACTTCACCCTTGCATAATGAGAGCAAGGATCAGAATATGACACTGCAGGGCGAGGGCAGTTTGGGGATCAGAGAGCGACCAAAAATCAAGAAAACCACCAGAAGGAAACAAGGCAAAAGATACTTGTTGCAATTTAGATGCCTAAACCAAGTCATCCAAGGGTGTCTGTGAGCTTGCCACCTCACTCAAATTGCATAAAAAGAATTCCCTAGCTTCTGAGAGTCCACCAAAACACCATTGTTGAATGTAATGAAACACCATTCTCTGGGTGAGCCCCAGTGGCTCCCTGAAGCTAATGGTGATAATAGTGCCAAACAATTAGGTGCCATCAGTCGCAGAGTTCTTTTAAGCCTACCGGGGACCATGAGCCAGAACCTTGGCCCCTCTAGAGAGGTGCAGGGAGAAGTGGCACTTGACCAAAAATTTACATGAATTTATTCATATCTGCCACCACTAAGGAAGGCACCCAGAAAGCCAGTAAAACAAACCAGACCACTGCTGGTGATAAGTGAGACTGTAGCCTCAGAATTACCAAAAGAACTCCTCAATGATGTAAACTATCAAAAATTCATGAAACTAGTGCTAGTTTGTTCACCCCACCTCCCTCCCTCATTTGGGAGGGAGGAGCAAGGCAGCCATGGGTCAGCCAAGTGCTTCACCCTCAGTTCTACGATGATGGAAATACTCCCAATGCCCTGGGGAGAGGTAAGATGTTAGGGAGCCACTGGGGCTCACCCAGAAATTATATTTCATTACATTCAATGCTGATTTTCTGGGGGTGCTCCTTGTAGCATCCTGAAGCTATTTACCCTAGGAGCAGGAACAAAACTAGCAACAACCAGAGAGGAGGGAGTTTGTTACTTTGGCAACATTTGCTTTTGCCAAAGTTTGATGTTTTAGCTGCCGTCTTTGGCAACATGACTTGTGCTGATATTCAGGCACTAGGCTTTTTGAGATCGAACAGGGTCCTGGCTGCCGGTTATATGGTAAACATTCTTGGTCCTGGGCATTCATGTGTGGCCTTGGGTCACAGGTTGCAGCCAGTTGTCTCGATTTTGAGTTGAGGAGTGTGTGGCGGCTGCCTCCTGGGTAAGTCTCTCATTTACTTATCTTGGGTTAGGTAGCTCCAGGGAGCCATAGGGGCTTCCCACAGAAAACCACCATTGAATGTAATGAACACTATTTTCTGGGTGAACCCCGGAGGCTCCCTGGCACCGTTCCTCCCTCCCTCCGTTCAGCAGTTTTGATTTGCTTTTGATGCTCAGCTTCCGAATTGGAATGTGTGAGTAGCCGGCGCGGCTGGGTCCTGAAGTCCAGCCAAAAGCATCAACCCCAACAGCCTCGCAGTCGGGGAAGAGAGTCACATATACCGGGAGATGCCTCGACCACACCGACAGGAAGAGGTCCACCTCTGGGAGCCAGGACGTCAAGCAGAACCAACTGAAGGAGTCGGCATTGACCGTTCATTTCGATGACAGGGGAATGAACCGAGACAGGCCGTCCGCCAGGACGTTGGACACCCCCTTCCTACCAGAACGTGAATGGCTACGAAAGCCAAACCCCAAGAACTCAGTAGACGAGACACCCAAAGCGACCAGCCCCAAAGAGCCAAGGACTGCATCGAACCCCTTGGGACAAGCAACGAATCGCTGGGGAGCAATCCGAACGGAGCTTGCTTGAAGATCCGTGGGCGACTTGAACCCTCCAAAGCGAATTCATACCTTTGCGAACTCCCGCACCACCCTCACCGCGTATCATTGACAAGTGTAATAGTCAAAATATTGGAAAAAAATAATTAAAACTAAATGGGTAGAACACCTGGAGAGAAATTATATAATATCAGACAGACAGTATGGTTTTCGATCTGGAAGATCCTGTGTATCGAATTTACTCAGTTTCTATGATAGAGCAACAGAGATATTACAGGAAAGAGATGGTTGGGTTGACTGCATCTATCTGGACCTAAAAAAGGCTTTCGACAGAGTTCCACATAAGAGGTTGTTCTGGAAACTGGAAAATATTGGAGGGGTGACAGGTAAGCTTCTAACATGGATGAAAAATTTTCTGACTAATAGAAAAATGAGGGCAGTGATCAGAGGCAATGTATCGGACTGGAGAAATGTCACAAGTGGAGTACCACAGGGGTTCTTGCACCAGTGATGTTTATTGTCTACATAAATGATCTACCAGTTGGTATACAGAATTATATGAACATGTTTGCTGATGATGCTAAGATAATAGGAAGGATAAGAAACTTAGATGATTGTCATGCCCTTCAAAATGACCTGGACAAAATAAGTATATGGAGCACCACTTGGCAAATGGAATTTAATTTTAATAAATGCCATGTTATGGAATGTGGAATAGGAGAACATAGACCCCACACAATGTATAAATTATGTGAGAAATCTTTAAAGACTTATGATAAAGAAAGAGATCTAGGGGTGGTTCTAGATAGAAAACTATCACCTGAGGACCACATAAAGAATATTGTGCGAGGAGCCTAAGCTATAATTTCTAACTTCAGAATTGCTTTTAAATACATGAATGGCGATATACTAAAGAAATTGTTCACGACTTTTGTTAGGCCAAAGCTAGAATATGCAGCAGTTGTGTGGTGCCCATATCTTAAGAAGCACATCAACAAACTGGAAAAGGTGCAAAGACATGCTACTAAGTGGCTCCCAGAACTGAAGGGCAAGAGCTACGAGGAGAGGTTAGAGGCATTGAATATGCCAAAACTAGAAGACAGAAGAAAAAAAAGAGGTGATATGATCACTACATACAAAATAGTAACAGGAATTGATAAAATCGATAGGGAAGATTTTCTGAGACCTGGAACTTTAAGAACAAGAGGTCATAGATTTAAACTAGCTAAACACAGATGCCGAAGAAATATATGAAAATTCACTTTCGCAAAGAGAGTGGTAGACGGTTGGAACAAGTTAGGTGAGAAGGTGGTGGAGGCCAAGACCGTCAGTAGTTTCAAAGCGTTATATGACAAAGAGTGCTGGGAAGACGGGACACCACGAGCATAGCTCTCATCCTGTAACTACACTTAGGTAATTACTTACCATGCTGTGGGCCCAAAGGATGGACAGATCCCACCGCCACTGGCCGGCCTGGTGAGCACTGGCCACAAAGCTCCAGCCAAAAGACGACGCATCCGTGAACACGTTGAGCAAGGGCTCAGGTAGGTGCCAAGGCAACGAACCCCGAAAAACCTGAAGATGCAGCAGCAGATGCAAGGCCCCCGGAGACCGAACCCAGCAGTCGTGCAAGAGGCGGAAGGGATGTTCCCAAAAGAACCAGAGCTGATGATGTAGACCATCCCAGCAAAGTTCAGGCTACCACACAATCCTCGAGCAACCTCCAAGTGACCCAGGAGCCCCCCCCCCCAGAAACAAGCGAAGGCGGTAGCACAGCCAAAGCAGAGACTCCGGAGGGAGAGACAAGGAAGCAGTCCTAGAAATCCATACAAGACCCAGCCAAGTCCAAACCTGAGAGGGAACCAGATGGGACTCCCGCCAGTCCAAAAGGAACACGAACTCGGTGAGCTGGGAAAGAACCAAATTCTCAGCGAGCAGACACGAGTACCGGCTGGGAGCCCAGACCAGCCAGTCATCGTGGTAGGCCAGCACCCGAAGACCTAAGAGATGCAGATGGGCCACCACGACCTGGGTAAGGCATGTGAACATGCGAGGTGCCAAGTTCAATCTGAATGGGAGACAATGAAAGCGGTAATCGAGACGCCCCACAACCCGAGCCAATCTCTTAATCTCCGATGAATCGGGACGTACCAATACGAGTCCCAGAGGTCTAGAGAGACCATCCAAGCGCCCGGCTCCAACAGAAGCTGTACTTGGGACAGTAGTCATGGGTTTTGAACCCCCTGGGTTCTTTGCTTCTCTGAAAGGCGGGGCAAAGAACCCAGGGGTTCAGACGAGACAAGTCCAAAATGAACCGCAGGTCTGCACAGTCACGTTTTGGGACTGGGAACAGACGGGAAACCCATCCGAGAGATGTCGTCATTTCGACCATGACAAAGCGCACCCACTCCGAGACAACCCGACAGCGCAGGAGAAGAGGCCTGCCCCCACCAGCCCTGAACTCCCCGAAGGAGGTGGTGGCCAGCCATTGCCACCACAGGTTGTCAGAAATGACCCAAAAAGCCCACAAATTGTGAGACCAGGCATGAGCAAACAGCCCGAGCTTCCCCCTCATCACCTCGTCAATGGGACGAACAGCGAAAAGTACGACGCCTCTTACAAGAACCTGATACACGCACAGGGCGAACACAGCGCCAACCAGACAAAGACGGGTCCAAATGCAACGCTGGCTCTGAAACTGGCACCAGTGGCCTACCACAACAAGCAGAACCACGACCCCTCCGGGAAGGCCTTCCCAGGACCCCCAGAGAACTAACAAGTCCGACATTGGACGACAACTAGAAGCTGCTGCCTGCAGATACTGCTTAACCACAGAACACGCAAACAGCAAGGGACCTAACGTGCAACGCCTGGGCTGTCTGTACCCGAATAGTCATCGGAGGACTGGGTAAACTGAGTCACAAACAAGCAACAAAACTCGCAGATCTCTGGGTCGAAGGTGTCACTGACCCTGCAGGCAGCGTGACGGAGGCAAAAACAATGAGTCTCCCTGAAACAAGGGGACAGAGCAACCCTCAAACTCGCAACAAGTGAGGGGGAAATCAGGGGTCACATCCATTGGACCCACGCACCCCCGTGGGGATTCCCAGTGTCCTGAGACGGAACTCATACTCAGGGAAGCCCAGGCAGGGTACTGCTAACCGCTGTCCAAGTCTACCAACAAACTTTCTAGAAGCCGAAGCCCCGGGATGTGTCCACTCACGGAGGGCCTAGCAGGGGATACCACCAGAAGCACAAAAACTATATAAACATACAGGGGGCAACCAAACAAAGCCAGACACCCCTCTCTCCCACCAGGCAGAGTAAATAAAAATAATAATAAAATCCCGCAAGAGGACAACGTATCCAGGCGGAACAGAGCCGGCCGCTATGAGAGGCGACAACAAGCTTCGCAGTACTCTGCGCCCCAACCAGTGCAAACTACCTCTTACCCTAAGACGAACAAGGGTGCAAGAAACACCCCAACACACAAAGGGCAGCCAAATACCGAACAGCAAACGACCAAGCAGAGGCATGACCCAAGGAACTTGTAGAAGGTGACTCCAAGCCCCAAGGACAGTACTTACCGGGTACCTAGGAAAGATAGCCCTAGGTGGATACAGCACTATCTAACAGTACAGTATACACTAATCCGAGCAAATATCGGCTAGTATGGCTTCTAGGGACATTTTAGTTGGATAGGGAGATAACTTTATCCAGCCATGATTTTGGCCGAATTAGGGCATTTTCCGGATTAGCAGATTCCAGATTAGCGAATTTGTACAGTACACACTTACAGAGTACCTAGAGAAAGTGGCCCCCCCTAGATGCACGCAGCTCCAGTACTCGAAAACTTCTGGCTGCACACACCTCCATGTATAACATTGCTGCAAGTGCGAAAACACCAAAAGAAAATGGGAACACAGAGCCAGAGCAACAGCGACCACTCAGCACACTGATGAATTCACACTTATCAGTGAACTGGCTGGTGGGCAGCCCAGCTCATCAGGGTCGGCTCCATCCCCCCCCCCCCATGGGGAAGGGGGTTGTGGTTACAAATGGAACATTAGTTGGACAAGATTTTGCTGCTTTTTTTATTTTATTTTTTTTCAATTTTTTCAATGTTGCCATTTTCAATTTGGTACTGTAATTCTTTGATTCACCAACCTTTCTGCGTGCTTCTCTGATCGATGGAAAGATAATATACTTTACATTTAAAGTGTTCATGACTCCCATTGCTCCCTGCGCTTCTTTGAGGGGGCTGGATTCTGGCTCATGGTTCCCTGGTAGGCATACAAGAACTCTGTGACTGATGACACTCAAGTTGTGGCACTCAAGTGTCTGCACTTGATCAGCACGATAGCTTCAGGAAGCCGGTGGGGCTGCTCCCATAAAACACCACACTGTTTTTAACTGTAGTCAGCGACTTCCTTCAAAGCTGGCTAGTTTCAACAAGTACCAGACACAGAGTGAGTTGGCCTTCCTCCCATGGCTTAGATGTACCCTAGCACTTTTATCAGGCAGCAGCCAAGGTAGTTTATCCTAATATGTCCAATGTATAAGACTAGGTAAGCTACTGGGCAAGGCCTGCTCAGAAAATAATTATAATACTGTAATAACTATATCAAACCATACAGTAACATTACCAGAGATACCTAAATATACAAGATTGCAAAAATATTTGCATGAATATTTTATGGTACTTCAAAATACAGTAACTAGGTAGCTTGGATATGTTAATATAAAACTGAATTAAACATAACCTACTTGTAAAGGCAAAAATCCACCTGCAGAATCTACAATATATAAAGAAGGAAGACGATTCATCACACCAATCGTTTGTGACCGAAGATTTTTTGTAACAGTAATAGGATAGAAGGTCCCACTGGTAACAGTTCCATCATTACAAATTATTACACAGTATCTACCTTGGATCTTCCCAATGCCTGGAATGTATACATAGGTCACATACAAAATAAATCACATAGAAGCAACATAACTTATCTTTAAATATGATTGATTCACTATTGTATTTGCATAAAGAAGCATTAGTCAATGAAATTCAAGAATAGAATTGTTTGAGAAAGACCATTACTGATACAAAGTGTGATGCTTTAATGCTGATACTAAAGGTAGTTATTACAAAAATTATTTATTTGTATAACTTAATATGACTTGTTACAAAAGTACAATGTAGTGACATACCATTAACACTGCCTGCTGCAGGAATATCTCCATACTCCATATTAAGACCAGCAAGCAGTGAAAGCTCTAGGTAGTCAGAATCCTCATCAAGAAGTAGCTTTAATTTATCTCGCACTAACAGCTTTCCATTTTTGTTGACATGTAAGGCTATGCCCCTTTCTCCACCTAAATATAAAATAAACATGAGTGTACAATATGAAATGCTCTTTTCTAAATTGGTACTTTGGTCACTCTCCAAACTGTCCACCCCAGGATATCTTTCACACACCAAATTCCATGGAGTTAATACCCTACAATAACAAGAGCCTTTCAGAGTACCTTGCTATTTAATTGCGGCAAGGAGATAGTAGTTTCTTTCTCATTCAAGCATGAATCGACTGACTTGCTCCAAGACAAAAGTCAAGTCTCCTTCACTCAATCCCCCCTTTCAAATAATAACTGGAAACCCAAGAACATGAGCACCATCAAAGGAACCGACAATGACTGGAAGAGCACCAAAAACTTCTGTTGTGAACATCATGCCACTTCGTATTTGTGCAAAGCAGCAGCCCAGAAATGAAAAATAAGATCCATCACCTGACATTCATACAGGTGATAATGCTGCCTCAAAGTCCAGACATGAAGATTGGCAGAGAGCTAAAATGGTAGGAGTAGCAAGAGATGAGGACCGGGAAAAAAGACAGAACCAGTCATATGTGAGCAAGCAAAATGACAGCTGTGGGGAAAATCTACTGGTGATTGATTTGATTATTAATTCAAGAGATTGTATTTAATTAGATTTATTACTTGTGAGTAGACTGTATTTTTATAATTTAGTATCACCAGTAAACATCCCTTCACACATTTTGGGGGGTGGTTCACAATTCAGTTTATCACACCTTAACACTATCGCTCACCCGACATGCGCGCGGTCAACTTAGAAGTCATGGATCCAACGTGCGGGCGAGTGTGCAGTGACGCCTAAATGTGTATACTGTACTCATTTCAGCTTTTTCACCTTAATTCTCGTGCTACGTCATTTGTTTTGGTATCATTGTGTTCGCAATTAAATTCCCTCCAGGTGTGTATGAATATAATGTCCAAAAGCCTGGCGTGACTCCCAACAGCAAAACCTAAAGTCGGCAAGAGTTACCTGTGAGCGCACAAAATCTGTAAAATGTGTATACTCGATCGTATTCCAGGGACCTGCCCGAAACGCTACGCGTACTAGTGACTGTACATGAATGTAACAACTCTTGTATATATCTCAAAAAAAAAAAAAAAAAAAAAAAAAAAAAAAAAAAAAAAAAAATGTATTCACCTAGTTGTACTCACCTAGTTGTGTTTGCGGGGGTTGAGCTCTGGCTCTTTTCTCCCGCCTCTCAACTGTCAATCAACTGGTGTACAGATTCCTGAGCCTATTGGGCTCTATCATATCTACATTTGAAACTGTATGGAGTCTGCCTCCACTACAACACTACTTAATGCATTTCATTTGTTAACTACCCTGACACTGAAAAAATTCTTTCTAACGTCTATACATTAGTGTGTATATATTATGTATGAAAATGTGTATACTCGTTCAGTTTGATAACCTCAATCTTCGTGTTACGTCTTTCATTTTGATATCAAATTGTTCGCAATAAAAAGGCACGTATTTTAAAACTAGTCCCATAATAATAGAGCTATAACTGGAATTTTAACAAATATTTTAATTCTGGAAGCTCATCATCACAAAATTATTTATATCTTTCCAGTGTTCTGACATAAATTTTTGTGTTACATGTTTCATTTTGGTATCAAATTGTTCGCAACGTAAAGGCGCGCATTTTAAAACTAGTTCCAAGATAATAGGACAATAAATAGAATTTTACCAAATATTTTAATATTTTGACCAAAAACCTATTTATAATCTTTCAAGTGTTCGGACATCAAGTTTCATGTTATATCTTTCATTTTGGTATCAAATTGTGCGCAATCTAAAGGCACTCATTTTGACACTATCCCAAGGTCGATCGGATAAAAAATGAATTTTATACAAATATTTTTGTAGTGGACACAAGTCCTGTCTACCGTAAGGATTCAGGAGAAAAAAAAATGGATGGGATCGGTGTCCAAAGTCAGTGACAGTGTTAATGAAACGGTTGATATAAATTTATGTACTAAACTGTAATTAAATAGTAGAACTGCTACAAATGTGTTAGTTATAATTTAAAATGACCTCAGCTGATTTGGTAGTGTTAGCTGGTCATCCAACATCAGATACCCTCGGACACGTGTACTCAGTACTGGACATGTGTTAATGGCATCCGCATGGTCCTGGGATGTACCAGCTCAACTGATGTTTAGTGCGGTCATTATTTATCTGCCAACAAGTTATATTGTATAAACTGATATAATGTGTAAAGCATAGGTGCTACACAAGAAAATTAGATAATTAATAATGAATAAACCTTACCCTTTCGGGTGGTGTTTTCCTGCATTGAAACGATTTAATCCTAGATACACATCAATGGCCAAAAAACCAACGTCGAATGTAATGAAACACCATTTTCTGGGGTGTGACCCCGAGGCTCTCCAGAGCTATACAGGCTGTTATGCTAATGTCAAACTTTGGCATCAGTCAGTTGGCTTGTGACCACAGCCTCACCTAAGAATGCCATAATATACATTTGCATGCTATTATTTAGCGATGATATTATTACAGAAGACCCCTGACTGTGATAAAAATGACCAGGATTCTGATAATAGCAGGATTGTTGTGATAATCAGCACTGTAGTAGGAGGAGTAATCTTGGTGGGAAGGGAGGTAGCATTGTCTGCTGACTGTGTGATCCCCTTTAACTGTCTGGACTCACTATACCAGCTTAGTTGTTCGCTATGGTAAACAAAACATGCAGATACTTATATATAACGTCTGTATATAAAAGCAAAAAGTGTATGGTGAACACGAATGTAGATACTTATATATAACGTGTATATACAGTGTAATAACAGCAAAAGGAGTGTGGGGGAGAAGCCATTTTGTGATGGGTGTGGCAACATCTGCATGATTTGTCATGTTGGTAGGGGTGGCTACTATGCTCTTTGGGCATTATACCGGCTTAGTTGAACAGTTATGGTGAACAAAACATGTAGATACTTATATATAACGTCTGTATATAGGGTAAAAACACCACAAACAGTATTGTTGGGGGTGAAATTTTAGTGCATCTTACCTTGAATGTGTGTGAGGGAGGCAGCCACCAGCTGACTGTGTGTAGCGACGTCTCTTAGTGCCTGAACTAACTATATCAACTTAGTTTTACAGTTGTGGTGAACAAAAACATGCTGATACTTATATATAACATCTGTATATAGTGAATAAAAGCAAAAACAGTATTGTGGGAGGATAATGTGGGCGAGTCAGGTGAGGTGAGGGAGGGAGGAAGTGGCAGCCAGTGGCCGGCTGCCACTGCCACTGCCAGTGAGCATGCCAACTTAGTGGTTCGTTATGGTGAACACGAATGTAGATACTTATATAATGTCTGTATATTGTGAATAAAAGCAAAAACAGTATGGTGGGAGGAGAATGTGGGCGAGTGAGGTGTTGAGGGAGTGAGTGGCAGCGAGTGGCTGGCTGGTGTGTGGTGGTCACTCCTCGTTGCATTTTGACTCATAATACCAACTTAGTGGTTCGTTATGGTGAACAAAACATGCAGATACTTATATAAAACCTGTGTATATAGTGTAATAACCGACAAAGTATTTGTTCACTGCTTGATGAACATAATAATTGAATCAACAATATGCACACCATATTTTTGAGTACAGCGATGATTCACTCATTTTATTATATAAATATATCACACTACACACTATTGAATAATATTACAGCAAAAAACTACTTAAAATCAATCGGAGACATTGAAATAATTAGGTAATTATCTCTTTGTGGCAACTCCTCTCTAACAGCTGGCGAGCAACAGACCGTCTGGGACGCACGCTGAGTCAGCGCCTGTTTTTTGCCAGACTTCCCCACCCTATAGCGAGCAATATATGCCACTTACGATTCTTTTTATTATTTTTCCCATGATCAGAGAACACAAATTAACAGGTTTAGAAGAAAAAAATTATTTTTTTTTTTTTTGGTATGCGCCTGTGGGTGACAAATGCTAAATAGCCCGGAGCCACACAAGAGTTAACAGAGTTCCCCATAAGAGGTTGCTCTGGAAACTGAAACATACTAGAGGAGTGACAGGGAAGTTTCTAACATGGCTGAAAAATTTTCTGACAGAAACATGAGGGCAGTATTCAGAGGCAATGTATTGGACGGAAGAAATGTCACAAGTGGAGTACCACAGGGTTTAGTTCTTGCACCGATAATGTTCATTGTCTACATAAGCGACCTCCCAGAAGGAATATAGAATTATATGAACATGTTTGCTGATGATGCTAAGATACCAGGGGAAGATAAGAAACTTAGATGATTGTCACGCCCTTCAAGAAGATCTGGACAAAATAAATGTATGGAGCACCTCTTGGAAAATGGAATTTAATGTGAATAAATGCCATGTTAAGGAATGTGGAATAGGAGAAAATAGATCACACATAGCCTACAGATTATGTGAAAAATCTTTAAAAAATTCTGATCAAATGAGAGACATTGTGGTGGTTCTAGATAGAAAACTATCACCTGAGGACCACATAAAGATCATCATGCGACGAGCCTTTGCTACACTTTCTAATTTCAGAATTGCTTTTAAATACATGGATGGTGAAATACTAAAGAAATTGTTCATGAACTTTGTTAGACCAAAGCTGGACAATGCAGCAGTTGTATGGTGCCCATATCTTAAGAAGCATATCAACAAACTGGAAAAGGTGCAAAGACACGCAACTAAATGGCTCACGTAACTGAAGGACAAGAACTACAAGGAGAGGTTAGAGGCATTAAATACGCCAAAATTTGAAGATGGAAGAAAAAGGAGATATGATCACTACCTTGTGTAGCTTCCAGGGATCAACAGCCCCCGCGACCAGGCCTCCCGGATGGTCATCTGGTCAACCAGGCTGTTGGACGCGGTTGCTCGCAGCCTGATGTTTGAGTCACATCCTGGTTGATCAAGTATTCTTTGTAGGTGTTTGTCAAATTCTCTCTTGAACACTGTGAGAGGCCGGCCAGTTATGCTCCTTACATGTAGCACGAGAGTGGTGAAAAGTCTTGGGTACTACATACAAAATAGTAACAGGAATTGAAAAAATGGAGAGGGTAGAATTCCCGAGACTTGGAAAGTCAAGAACAAGAGGTCACAGATTTAAACTTAGTAAAGAAAGCTGCCAAAAAAATTTACTTTTGCAAACAGTGGTAGACAGTTGGAATAAGTGATGTGATAAGGTGGTGGAGGCCAAAACCATCAGTAGTTTCAAAGCGTTAAACGACAAAGAGCACTGGGAAGATGGGACACCACGAGCGTAGCTCTCATCCTGTAACTACACTTAGGTAATTACATACAACACATTTAGATTTTATAGTATGTGCAATGCTATATTGACTGCCAGTGTGACAGGTTATTATTGTTGCTGATTATGCATAACATTATATTGACTGCCTAAATATCCAGAAGGAACTCCTGTGCTTCCATTGTAAATGGCAGTGTTAAGAAATCCGTGTTTGTAATTGGTTGTCTATGAAAGTGTTAAGACAGGACTGCTCACAAGTAAACCATGTGATCAGTCAGTTGAGGCATCCCAATGTTTCACTGATACGAAATGAGCTTTGCCGACACAAATCATAGAGTAACTTATGCACTCTATGAATTAATACATAAATTTCTGTAAATAAACATCGTTAAGTTTATGATAGTGTTTGAATACAATCCTATTAAACACTGTCGCAAATAAAATCCTTTTATATACTGTCTCCCAAATGAAGTTGGGAGACAGATACTTTTCCATTATCTCTATTACTAAGCCTTTAATAAAAAAAATTGATGAGGATCCATTGGGAGAGCCTTCAATCTGGACCAGGTGAAGCTTGTCTATAAGGAACCCTACAGAAAGACCCTTAGTCTATTTTGTGCACACTGGGCATGGATTCAGTACTCTCAGCTAGCTAAACCAGAACTGACATTGTTGAACCCGTCAACCATTGTAATGTGGTGACATTTTGCACAATTGCAGTTAGGGGGTAGGAAAAATCAACAACATCGCAGGCCTCATGGTAGACGTTATCACCCACCCAACAGGTGGCATGGCCGAGGCAGTAAGAATGACCAACATACAAGACCGAGGTACACTGTACATCCTTTACACTCGCCTCTTGTGACTGTGGACTAGGGGGGGAAGGGGGGGCTGGTCCAACCAGAACCCCACCAAAGATGGCTAAGACTTGGCAGGTCCTGAATGTAAAAACTAAGCAGGAACAATGGGCACCAGGGCTACTTGCTGGAAATGGATGAGAGAAAATTTGGAATACTGAGATAAACTAGCAGAATGTATTAGGCAAAGCTATTTGGTAAAATTAGGTTAATTCAGGTTAATTCAGATTTGGCAGAGAGCAGATTGCTGATTTTCTCCCTTTCACAAATTTTTTTTATCTAGAGAGCTTGTCCAGTAAACAGGTCAAACAGACCATCATCCACTTTAACATCCATATAAAAAATAAACCAATGTTCACAAAACAACTGCCAACATACTGACCTGCACTTCTGTTGGTCAGAAAAGCAGTACTTCTTAAAAGATAATGTACATAATGTTCATAAAAGGTATTGAACAACAGTACATTACCTTTTATTTTTGCAATGATGCTTACCTCCTGCAAGACAGATGTTACTGAGCTTCTGAAGCTGAAATAATTGCTCTTCTGCCTTTTTTTTGCTTGCAGCCAGTTGCGGACATGTGGTATCTATTGTATCCTTCAACACAGGAAAGGGTTTCACCTGTGTTGACAACCCCCTGAACACCATGGGTCGAGATCGATTTAGAAATTGCTTGAACATTATTACTCTTAAGAACATCTGAAAAAATTAATCAACACATTATATATAAATCAATGGATCTAATGGAATATATACATATAAAAATTAAGCCTTTATTGGCCTTCACATTAGAGTATCAATGCAGAATGGTGTCATGGAGGGAAGACAAAGGGCAGAGCCTCGTTGAGCTCCACCAGCCCCAAAACACACGGACCTCGCAGCACCTCTGGGAACTCGCCAAGCAATTTTGTCCTCAGAGAGCGGACACCTGAATCCAACTATTCCTGTGATCATTGGGGTTATCACCTGCGCCCAGCATGGAAGAAATTACTTCAGTACTCTACACTGGTCCTCTTGGAACATGAGGCTAAGCTCCCCAATTTCATTAAATCATTATTCCTGTATTCAAGTGGTTAGTAGCCTACTGTCAGACTTTCACACATATTATGTGTATATTATATATATACTGTGTATATTATATTATATATATACTGTGTATATTATATTATATTATATTATATTATATATATATATATATATATATATATATATATATATATATATATATATATATATATATATATATATATATATATATATATATATATTATACATACATACATACATACATGCACACACACTGTGGATGTGGCTAAAAAAATTTCCGACTGATAGAAATATGAGGGCAGTAATCAGAGGCATTATATCGGACTGGAGAAATGTCACAAGTGGAGTACCACAAGGTTCAGTTCTTGCACCAGTGAAGTTCATTGTCTACATAAATGATCTACCAGTTGGAATACAGAATTATATGAACATGTTTGCTGATGATGCTAAGATAATAGGAAGGATAAGAAACTTAGATGATTGTCATGCCCTTCAAGAAGACCTGGACAAAATAAGTACAGTATATGGAGCACCACTTGGCAAATGGAATTTAATGTGAATAAATGCCATGTTATGGAATGTGGAATAGGTGAACATAGACCCCACACAACCTATAAATTATGTGAGAAATCCTTAAAGAATTCTCATAAAGAAAGAGATCTAGGGGTGGTTCTAGATAGAAAACTATCTCCTAAGGACCACATAAAGAACGTTGTGCGAGAAGCTTTCATGCTTGCCATGGCTTCATGCCATGGCATGGCTTCATGAAAGCCATGCTTTCTAACTTCAGAATTGCTTTTAAATACATGGATGGCGAAATACTAAAGAAATTGTTCACGACTTTTTGTTAGGCCAAAGCTAGAATATGCAGCGGTTGTGTGGTGCCCATATCTTAAGTACATCAACAAACTGGAAAAGGTGCAACGACATGCTACTAAGTGGCTCCCAGAACTGAAGGGCAAGAGCTACAAGGAGAGGATAGAGGCATTAAATATGCCAAAACTAGAAGACAAGAAAAAGAGGAGATATGATCACTACGTACAAAATACTAACAGGAATTGATAAAATCGACAGGGAAGATTTCCTGAGAACTAAAACTTCAAGAACAAGAGGTCATAGATTTAAACTAATTAAACAAAGATGCCGAAAAAATATAAGAAAATTCACTTTCACAGAGTGGTAGACGGTTGGAACAAGGTAAGTGAGAAGGTGGTGGAGGCCAAAACCGTCAGTAGTTTCAAAGCATTATATGACAAAGAATGCTGGGTAGATGGGACACCAAGGGGCGTAGCTCTCATCCTGTAACTACACTTAGGTAATTACACACACACAATAAACTAAGAGATAAGAAATAAATGTTAGAGAATGAAAAATCTTGGCTAGAAAAGTTGATTTTTCAAAACAGAAGAATGTCAACAAAGAGGGCCGCCATCAAAGGGGAGAACAGTACCCCAGCAGGGGAATGTTTTGCAGGTTTCTCGCAATAAGATGTAATGAAAGGTGGTTTTCTTGACAGGTTAGTGTTTATTGAGGACATGCTAACGAATTATGAAGAAAAGGTTATTAAATTAGAACAAGAAAATGAAGGTCTCATGATTGAGTTTTGTAAGTTAAAAGGAAGTATTTTCCAGCAAGAAAAGGAAATTACCAGCTTGACTGACAAGGTAAGGATGCAGGAGGAACACATCAAGGAACTAGTAAAGGATAATGAGGCATGAAAAGTGAAGAGTAGGGAATTTGAAGATATTAACAAGAAAATAGACTCATATGGTGAACAACTCCAAGGAAGCCTGAGGGCTAATATGGAGTTAGGCAAGGAGATGCAACGAGAAACTTCATTGGCAACTAAATAGAGGTGGTTAATAAAGAACTTGAAAAGTATAAATTAGAAATAAAAGTGATGTATGCACAAGTTGTAAAAGAGAAAGAGACAATCAAGGAAGTGTGTTCAGAAGTCAAAACCAGAAATCACAAACAAGAAGCAGAAATTAGGCAAGCAATTAGGAAAGAAATGGTTACCAACCATAAACTAGCACAAAACACTGCAGATAGAAGTCCATAATAATTTTTGGATGTTTAGAGAAGGAAATTTCATCTAGGGTGGACCAAGCAGCAGAAGAGATGAAAATCATAGAGAAAACAGTAGGTTTAGGAGAAGGCTCAAAGGAAAATGTTAGTGATTTTAGAAGAATAAGAAAATATGAGAAAGACAAGAACCGCCCCTTAAGAATGACGTTTAATGGAATGAAAAACATGATGGAAGTGTTTAGAAATGCCAGGAAATTGCAGTGATGAGGTTAGCAAACTTTGGTCAATAAGACAAGGCCTCTCAAAGGTAGACAGAGAAAAGCTGAAAATGAACCTCATTGAAGCAAAACATCTAAATGGGGATAGAAATGAAGACAGAAATTCTTTTTTCTACAAAGTGTCAGGGACTGGAAAGCTTGTGAAATGGTACATAAAAACAAGGCAACAAAATCATTAGAGGAAGGGGGAGTAAAGAGCAAAGGGAAAGGGAACATGTTCCTGAAAGTTGTATATACCAACATAGATGGAGTGAGGTCAAAAACTTTCGAGTTGCTAGATATAATTCAGCTCAAAGTCCCAGATATTGTCGCATTATCAGAGACAAAACTTGAAGGAAATATATTAAATGAAGTCATATTCCCAAGGGGCTATTCAGTTTGGAGATGTGACAGCAAAACTAGGAAGGGAGGAGGAGTAGCTGTGCTGGTGAAAGAACACCTGAAGGTAAGAGAGTTAACATTTGAAAACCCTCAAGATATTGACATAATGGCATTGCAGGCCTGGAATCAAGATGATAAGTTGATAATTTTAAATGCCTACAGCCCACCAGCAACACATGGACAAAGGAAGAACTGGATGACAAATGAGAGGGCCTCATAATGGTCATGAGAGATATTATTGTACAAGCAAATAAAGATAAATCACGACTGTTGATACTGAGGGACTTCAACTTTAAAGCAATAGACTGGGAGGCCTATGAAGCAAGAACGGAGGACTTTTGGACATGCAGATTTGTGAACCTCATTCTGGAGACATTCATGTATCAACACATAAAGCAGGCCACAAGAATGAGAGAAGGAGATGTACCGTCAGTATTGGATCTAGTATTCACCAGGAAAGAAGAAGAGATACTTGACATCCAGTAAATTCCTCCCTTTGGAAAGAGTGATCACTTCATGTTAGACATTATACATGCTTTAAGATATCATCTAGAAGAAAATGGGAACATTGAAACAGTTGATAAACTTGATTTCAAGAGAGGCCACTATGGGAAACTTTGACATTTTTTAATGAGTGTAATTGGACAGACTTGCTGCTAGGCAGGGAAGTAAATGAAATGTATGCAAAATTTTGCAAAATATACAATGAAGGCACACAAACATTCATACCAAAACAGAGATACAGGGCTAGAAAACAGGATTGGTTCAACAGAAATTGTGTGAAGGCGAGAGACCAAAAGACACAAAAATGAAATCAATATAGGAAGAGGCCAAACCCCCAAACATACCAGTGATACAAAGATGCGAGAAACAACTATACGGCAGTAAGGAGAGAGGCAGAAAGAAATTTTGAAAAAAGGGATAGCGGATAAATGTAAAACAGGACCGGGCCTATTCTACAATTTCATAAACAACAAATTGCAGGTAAAGGATAATATCCAGAGGTTGAAAATGGGAAACAGATTCATGGAAAATGAAAAGGAAATGTGTGAAACATTAAATGAAAATTTCCAAAGTGTGTTTGTACAAAATGAAATCTTCAGAGAACCAGACACAATAAGAATTCCAGAGAACAACAGAGCGGATAGAGGTGTCTAGAGATGAAGTGGAAAATATGCTAAAGGAGCTCAGTAAGAACAAAGCAACTGGCCCAGATGGAGTTTCACCATGGGTTCTGAGAGAATGTGCATCTGAGCTCAGCATTCCACTTCACCTGATCTTTCAGGCATTCCTGTGTACAGGAATCGTAGCAGATGTGTGGAAACAGGCTAACATAGTTCCAATCTATAAAAGTGGCAGCAGGGAAGACCCCATCAATTATAGACCTGTATCTTTGACAAGTATAATAGTGAAAGTATTGGAAAAACTAATCAAAACTAAATTGGTAGAACACCTGGAGAGAAATGATATAATATCAGACAGACAGTATGGTTTTTGATCTGGAAGATCCTGTGTATCGAATTTACTCAGTTTCTATGATCGAGCCACAGAGATATTACAGGAAAGAGATGGTTGGGTTGACTGCATCTATCTGGACCTAAAAAACCAGCGTTGAATGTAATGAAACGCCATTTTCTGGGTGAGTCCCGGAGGCTCCCCGGAGCTATCCCAGGCTGATATGCTAATGTCAGACTTTGGCATCAGTCATGTGTATGGAGTTCTTAGGCCTACCGGGGACCACGGCCAGAACCGGGCCCCCTCAGAGAGGCAAGGGGAGCAATGGCCTATAGAAGCCCCCGTGTAGTTGGAAGCATTCTATGTCTGCCATCGACCGGAACAGGCACCCAGAAAGGTAAGCGCCCCAAAACAAACCCCTATTCTGGTTAAAATTGCTACCTAATACCGAACTAGTGGATAGAACTCCCCAACCGAAAACAAGCAAATTAGTGTGACGTCACACACTGC